CGTCAGGTTTCGTCAGACGAAACCATTGACGAAACTATTTCGTCAGGGCAAATTAGTTTCGTCAGGCATCATTAACTTGAACTTGAACAAGGTTTTAGGTATTATTTATGTATCTTATTTATTAAAGAAATGGATGAGATTCGATCGTTACATAGTAGAACGAGAAATGCCCTAGCACATATGAATCATTATCTATGGAATATGTTGTCTATGACTTATTTTACATAGATACTAGTTATAATAAATATAGGGCGTTCTCAAGCACCTCGATCAATGAGCTAAAATGTGTCGGAGTGTGTAGGGAATTAAATTTTAATTAGCGGAAAGTATTTTAATCGATCAAACGGGCGTGGTATGTCATGAAGATTAATAACGTACAGGACACATGGTTTATTTAAGTCAAAGAAAAATTTTAATAATTAAAAATTGATCAAGTTCATTATTTCAGTCAAAAAACTTTTTTTTCATGTTTTTATTATGATATTTCGTTATCAACACATTAACATACTGAGTACCGTTATATTACAACATATTTTATAAATCATTTAGAATTTACTCAAGCATTGATTGAGGTCTTTATTTTGACCTATCGTAGCAATTGAGCATCAATACAATTATTAGCAAATCAAAGGAATAGTAATACTTGAGCGTATTTCAACAATATCGTCATTCGCATTATTGACTTTTATATAAATTATTATGAGAATAGCTAAAATTATGTCATAATATTTGTGCACTATTTCGATCACGGTGGATGCTTGAGAACACACATAGTATAATTGTCTAGTGATAATTAAATTCACGTGATACTGCTGAAATCAATAGCCCTAAACCACCTAGAGCACGTGACTAAAGTGAGAAGAAGGACAATTTCAAAGAACAATAACACAAGAACAATAAAAAAAAAAAAATAGAATAAATGAAAAATAATGTAATAAGATAAAAAAGTTCCAATAAATGAAGGTCGGAATCACTTGATCCAACAATCCGTAATTAAGGTACTTGCAATTGATTGAAGGTTGGGTGAAGTTGGAGAAGTTGGAGGAAGAATTGTATTTTCAGTTATCTCTTTTGAAAGTTGATAAGTTTGTACATTTGCAGTATTGCGCTTGTCATTTTTCTTCGGTTTCTGTCTTATTTCCAACTGACATTTATTAAGTATACCATCTTGGACAAATCGGTAGCTCCCATAACTAATAATATTTTCTTGGTTGTCGTTAATAACCCCCATTAAAGCCAGTGTTTCATCGGTTACATGTTTAAGATTGTTAATTTTGCCAGGAAATACAAAAATCATTCCTGATTTTTTATCTTGAAAAGTAACAGCATTGCGAAATTCTTTTTCGGTTCGTAATTTGGGTAGTACCACCACAGTCTTACCAGCTCTGCATCCAGAATACTTAAAGCGTTTTAGAAATTCGGGGTAGAATCTTTTCATTTCATCTTCGCAATGTGGCCTTACTACGTTATTTATAAATTGTTCATCAATAGTCTTTAGATACTTGTTGGCTTCGGTGAGTGTAGGGTAAGAGCCCATAAGAGTCCATTGAGCGTGAGTTAGAACATATTCATGTGAAAATTCTTTCTTATCATAAATGGGCATTAAACAGGGAAAGGAGCCATCCATGGTAATAAATGAAATCGGTTTATTAGAAGTAGGCTGTTTATCTTGATAAATTAAAGCTAAGCATGGCTGGTAAAATATCTCCATGTCGGCAGGGAGAGGATCCCTTGGTTGTAAAGACTGAAAACCAGTAGCATTAATTACATGATCAGCGATTTGAAT